ATTTTGGTCTGAATATACTTTCGCCCTGCCGGTTGACGCATTTTTCAAAAAAAATGTTCCGCTCGTGAGCACGGTAGTCGCCGTTTGAATGTTAATAAGCCCAAAACGCCCTAAAAAAAAAATATGAATAAATTAAATCTTGATTTTTTTTTTCACGACGGATTTAGTAGGATTTGATTGATCGTTTCCCACACCTGACTAACATGTATGATGTCTCCTGATTAACATTTTGTTCTTCGATTGTAAGTGGGTTTCGATTTTAATTTGTATACTTCAAATTTTCAAGAATATATTGCTGTTTATGTGAGGGGATTGCAAGCGGTCTATTTTTAAGGAGTTTTGTATAGGCAATATTTAAGAAATAAGTGGTTTTAATACATTTCGGCCGTGTCAATTGTTTTGCCGGTTAGGTTCAAGGTTCAATTAACCAAAAAGCTAGAAAAAATTTCGACTTCATAAGATGGTCCGATTGTTATGTTATGTCCCTACATAATATCTTCCTAGCCGATTTTCATTTTGAAAGTGTCAGTTTCTTGTAATTAAATAAGTAAAATTTGCAATTTTTCAATATTATAACCCAATATTTTTACATAAAAAAAAATCAAGAATCTGTTTCTTACACAACCTGGTAAAGTTGCCAAAGAAGTCGTATATGTTTACAGAATTGAAATCTGACCATTCTAAGTAGTCGAAATGTTGTCTGGCTTTTTGGTGTCGTGCAACGATCCCCTTAAACAAAAAACCCCTTTCAAGTGTGAAACTAATGAAATTACGGTTTTTTAGAATTTACCCAATTTAATACTACTTAAAAATATGTGTTTTGAGTAAAAGTTTCGCAGAAAACGTTAAACCCAAACAAAGTTAAAACTGTTTTCAATGCGTTTTCATTAAACGATGCCGATCCGGCGCGCCGCCGCTTTGATAACACTGTTGGTATTTACCAAACTAGGTTAGGCCAATATATTATTATTGTTATTTAATAGCATGCCAGTATAGGAGGTTAGGTCGGAGGTCGAACTAGCTCTCTATTATTGCTGTTATTTATGGATCAGTCATTATAGTCGACGGCCTGAACCGACACCAGCTGTATAACGTGCCCTCCCTTTTTATATGTTTGTTATGTGTGCAGCTCTGCAGCGCCTATATTATGCGGGGTAATCGTTTCCAATAATAATATATACTTTGGGCCAGACCGGTAAACATAAAAAAGGGATGGACTGCTTATTAGTTTAGCGAAGAGGTTTGCACGTTTCGAGGAATTCCGTGTTTAAAGAACGCCTACATATTGTGCAGTAAATAATTAATTTAACGTGTATTGATTTTTTTATGCGTTTACCAGCGCCCAACCCTAATCTATTTTCATCTACAAGGACAGGGATATTATATTCCTTTATACTATTATTTATACGTCATGTTCGTTTTTGCCAGTGTCGGCAAAAAAAAAAAAAATAAATAAAAACCAGACCCAGTTAACTTCGATTTTGGTTATACAACAGAATACAATTTTATTGTATTATATAAGACTTATTTTTGAAGTAAAAAAAAACGTACCATTCAATCGTGTCGAAGTTTCTATCAAGATTATCATTATAGCTGTTGCAAAGATTTTTATTCAGAGGCCTGCATAATATATTTTTCGGCCAAACACAATATGTGTGATGTTGTTACAAATTAGGATGTCGGACACGACCACCATAAGCTGAAGTGTAATAGCTTTTTGGAAATTGGCATTTTCCCAACCAACGCGTGTAGTGTAGAAAATCCGTTTAATCTCAAATCGGTAGTTTTCGAAACGATTTGCCCTCTCCCCCTCCCCTCGTGTGTGTGTGGGAAGGAGATGAGGGTGGTCGGATAAAAAGGGGTGAACGGCATTCTATATGTTCACAGCGTTTTCTCTCCCTTTTAACAATATGAACTCTGGTCGCCCGTAACTGTGTTGAAATGCCACACACACACAAAACTCACACCGTAAGTCTGGAAAATCGATACAGCGGTAGTCACGTTTGCGAAGGCGGAAAAAAACATTAGGCCAAATCGCGCAATACCGACATTTTTTTGTTGTATAATTTTCATCCGATGCTAAATTATTGATATTATACTTACATATAGGAGTTGGCGAAATTTTTCGTACTCGGACGAAGCGAAAAACAAAAAAAATATATATATATTTATTAATCATTTTTTCGTTGACGGTCGACTTTCAGAGATATTTTTCAAAAGCCATTCCAAGCGATTTTTTTTTACAAAATAAAACTTTGGGTATGTTCGTTTCCCCCATAAGTTAGTCGACACACTTAAAACGGAGTTGAGCCTTTTTAAAAACATTTATTGTACAAAATTGTTTTCTTATTTTTTTTTTTTTGTAAAATTTGATACTTATACTCTGTTTGGAATAACAACAGAGTATACATACATGTTATATTATATAACAACTTTATAAGTTTATATGTATATATTGTTTTGTTTAAAGTCTGTTATAATCTCAGACAAAAATATATTCAAACGGTCCGCCGACTCCAAAAGCTTTTTTATCACTTTTATAGAAATTTGTTAAAAAAATACACCATCTAATTAAAAAAAAAAAAAAATATTTGTTTTATAAGCCAATTCTCGTTTTTATCATTCATAATGTTATTCTGTTCTTTCATTTTGACAAAGACAGTATTCCATTAAATGTATTACTATATTAATTAATTATTTATTTATTATATTTTAATAATAAAAATTATATTTTTATCGCATTATATTTTTCGACCATTCTATTTTCTTTTCCGATTAGGTATTCTTTATGTCTTTATCTTTGACGAGGAGATTCTGTATTTGATTTTGCGAGAAAATTATTTTCAAGTAAATGCTTTATTGTGAATTTATATTGGTAACGCGATTTCGCAATTAAACATTTTCTAAATTTGTTTTAAATAGCTAATATTTTGGATTTTTTTATCCAAGTTATAAAATAACCTTTAAAAAAATAAAAGTCCTACTAATACTGTTTGATTAGTATGACTGTTTTTGGAAGTACTATTTTAATATGTTTTCAAATTTGATTATGAAAGCTTATATTAAATAAGTACATTTTTTTTGTTTTGAATCGGTAAGTTCGATTGTCCATCGGCCAAAGGTCGTTGTTTGTTGGATTTGGCCTCGGTTTTTTTTTGTCTTCATAAGGTTAAACTTTGTACGCGATTGTGTTTCTGTAATAATAAAAATAATAGTAATATCAATTAAATAGTTTTATAAGTAAATAACAGCTGCTTATCAGCAACAACATCGTTATTTATAACGTGTGAAACTGGTCGATAACAACCCAAAAGAGTTGATAGCAATTATACGAATTGCATGTCACGATAGCTATTATGGAAAACGAGTGATCTGTTTGCCCACCATCATATTAATATAATAATAATAATGACAGGTAGGTAATAACTGGCGGACAGTGATAATTATGTTATTTGCCAAGACACAAACAAACACATCCGTCTTTTTGTGCGACTATAAAAACGTTTTTTATGCAATTTTTTTCAGTACACGTGTGAGTTGCGCAACAACCAACATGCATGTACATTTAATATGTATATAATATCATATACACATGACTATTTAAATGTAATGTAATTCTTGCTGCGCGCGAAAATGTATTTTTTTTTATATTTAAAAATGTAGGAATATTATTTGATGTTTACTACAACTTATATATTATAATAGTTATTATTTAAATAAACAACACATGTTGTTATTATTGTACGTGTAGAAATAATTCAGTCGTTTTGAAAAAAAAAATACTGCTTTTAAAACTCGGTAAAAAGCAACATATATTATTTGTCTACTTGACTTAAAGCGTTAGGTTTTATTCGACGTGATAACGTTTTTAATCCGGCTAGGTAAGGTATCATTTGCGTTACTAATTAAAAAACGTAAGACAAATCCGATAAGATAAGTAAGTGTTGTGATACGATGAAGAAACCTTTGCACGATTACTATTAAGTATTGACCAGGTATGATTGCAATATTAAAGTATTTCAATAAAATATGCATTTCAAATACATTATTGTGTGTTTTACGAAATCGGTTACGAAAATGTATTTTTATTATCTTACTTTAACCTGCGTCTACTTAATAAGTAATCAAATTACATTTTCCTTATTAGTCTTTCTTACTTTGGGTAACTTTTAATTATCACGGATTTTTTTCAGTGCATAAATGACTAAAAGTAAAAATTGTCTTTTAGTTTATTTGTTTAAGCGTTGTAGTTCCAAAACTTTGAAGCTACCATCAAAATGACCATATTACTTTAAAGTAAATTATTATTATTATTTTGTTTTTTGGACAGTTTTTGAATGTGAGTAGTGCGTTTTTAAAAGTATTAAAATTAATTATATGTTGCATGTACGGGTGGGCTGATTGGTTATGGTTAAGTTCGGTGTGGTTAGATTAAGTTATGTTAGGTTTGGTTAAGTTCGGTGTGGTTAGGTTTGCTTAGGTTAGGTTAAGCGCCTACCACCTAGGGTTGGTCGATTTAAACAAAAATTTAGGGTAGATAAAAAAATAGTATTTTATATTTACTTTCGAAACGCGTAGGCCGTATATAACATAATAGAACATCAGTCGGGGTCGTTTGAATTCCAAATATATAATATCAATTGTACTACTACTATTTTGTGTATTGCATATCGTTGGTATTGCACACCAATAATTACTTCCCTCCCCTCTCCCCGGTATCCGACCGACGAACGGTATTGTACGTATTTCGTCCCGTCGGACGACAAATTACATAGTATTATTTCAAAGTCCATCGCTCCGGCGTTTGGCCACACTGTTCAACGCGTCATCGGGCGGGACGTAGTAGTCGCCGCCGTTATCAGTGGCGGCAACGGCGGCGGCGGCCACCGATTTTCGAGTGGGAGCGCGGACGTAACGAAGAGGGGAAACTTAGCGGCGGCGGCCGCGGCAACGACGGTCGACGTCGGTCTCCGCCGCTGCCGCGACCCAGGTTTGGCTGGCGGCCGCCTGTTCAGAATCAGTAGTTTACCACGCGCGACCGACGATAGATATCGCTGTCCGACCGTTCGTCTGTCCGTCGAGCAGTGTGCACAACGCGGCCGTCCGCGAGCCGATAATTGTTTTCCATAGTATACACTTATAGAAATAAATAAATAAATATTTAGAATTGTTTAAGGTTTGATAATAGTATTATATTATTATAACATATTATATTGAGTGGCGGCCGTACGAAGTGATCGTCCGTTGCGACACACACACACACATACGTCGTTAGAGTGTTTTCGCGTGTGCCGCCGCGGCCGTGCTAGTAATAATTTTTAGTTTTTTTTTCGTCGTCGACCGTGTATGCTGCGTTTGTATACCAACATATTATTATACATATATCGTGGGGCGTATACGTGCGTTCGGCTTGTGTGTATGAAGTAACGATATTATAGTCGTCTTGGTTATTATTATTTTTTTTTTTTTTGTCAATAAAAAAACAATAAAATATTTTTTATTTTGTTTTATTACAAAATAATCGTGTCGCAAGTTTTGAGTGGTGCGGCGTCCGCGTCGGATTGTCGCGGTGTTTTATTATTATCAACGCAGACTGTGGTGGCGGCGGCGGATGTGACCGGCGTCGGCCGCTTGACGACCCGCCACGGACAACATGGACGACGACGACGATTACAGCAAGACATGCGGTCCCGTGCTGGTGGTGGACACGACGGGCGGTGGCCGCCGGCGTCGGCTGGAAGAGATTTTCGCGCCGCCGCCGTTGAGCGTAAAGTCCAGGGAGATGGACAACCTGCTCGAACTCGACGAGTCGGCCGATAGCGGCGACGGCGACGACCAGCAGACGCGGCCGCAACAAGAAGCCGGCAGCCGTGACGAGAACACCAAGGAGTCGGCCGCTGCGGACGACGACAACGTCCGAACCGCCAAAGTCGTCGAGCTGGCGTTAAGTCCGCTGGTGCAAGCGGTAGTTGTGGCGGAGGTGGCGCAGAGCAAAGCCGCGGCCGACCTGGTCAACGACATCAACACGAGGTTTTCCAACGATTACGCCCAGACCGTCGGCGGCGGCGACAGTTCGACCACGGCCACGCGCAAAGTTTCCGTGCGCGATCTGTTCGCCCCGCTGACCGTCAAGTCAAAGGAGATGCACGACTTGCACGAGCGAGACGCCTGCGAAGAAGACCGCCGTCGAGATCAAGAGGTACATCAAATTAAATGCCTATTAATGACATATTTGTATTAACAATGTTATCGCCGCCAACAGACTCGTTCGGTTTGCCGTTTTATTTTTAATTTTTCAAAAGCGCCTCGCTCGCGGTTTTGCAGTAAAATTGTGTCATTTTGTGTATTGCAAAAACCCCGACGACGGTCACACCCACCCACTTGGCGTTATCTTTCTCGAAGTCGGTAAGATAACGGCCGACGATTCCTCCTCATACCACTCGACATTACATTACTTTTTTTTCTCTCGAGTAGTTTGATAAGCATAATATTTTTATTTAATTTAATTCGGTTTAATCCCTACGAGTCTGTAAAAAAAAAAAACGGTTACAAGATAATATTTTGATTGATTGATTGTCGTGTGTGACTGTTAGGACGATGGCGGCGACCAACGGCGGACGTCCGCGGGAAACTTGCAGACGCCGGAAGAAGACGAGCGGCGAACGCCGACAAAAGACGACAGCAGAGCGTCGACGCCGGCGGTGGCGGCTACGAACAAAAGCGATGACGGTTCGACTTCAACTTCGACTCCGGCGGCCGCCGACGGTGACGCGTCCGAAGCACCGGCGGTCAACGGCGGCTACAGCCGGAAAGGTCCCAAACCTGCGCCGATAACGGACAACGCACCCGTGGTGCCGGTGGACGACACCGGCACGCCGCTAATACGGTTGAGGAGCAAAAAGTCCATAATGGAGTCGCGGTTCGGACTGCATTCGGTGGTGCGAACGTGGGACGACGTGTGGAAGTCGACGGCTTGGGCAAAACTGGCACCGGAGAAACTCAAGCGGTCGCCAAAGCTGGCCGCGGCCAACGACGCCAAGTCTTCGTTGGTGACGGCCAACGGGCAGATCGCCGTCGACACGTTGAAGAAGAGCCGGTTTAAAGTGGTACAGATCGAAGACTCGGCGGCCGCCGGCGGTGGCAGCACGGACAGCGGAGGCGGCGACGGCGGTGGTAGCAGCAGCAGCAGCGAGGCCGGCGCGGCGCTGCCCATGATTGAGAGCAACCTCAACGAGCTGACCATGGTCGAGTCGGAGCTGAAGAAACTGGAGCGCGAGCACCACCACCAGCGCCGCGAGCTGCCCGCCGGCGAAACCGAACAGACGGGCGGCAGCGGCGGCGACGACGGCCACGACGACGGCGAGAACAACAAAGTCGGTTCCCGTGCCGCCGAGACGCACTCCAAGAGGCTGGGTTGGCTCAAGGCGGCGTTCCGCAGACGCAGCAGCAAGTCCAAGCCGGCCGACACCGGCGCGACGGTGTCTTCCAACCCGCAAGTGACGCAACAGAAGCAGCGGCCACGCGGTACCGCAGGAAGTCGGGCCGCCGCCGCCAGACAACAACAACAGCAGCAAAGGAGACGCCGCAGTGCGGGCGGCGCGAGCGGCAGACAAGTGAGATTTTTGGCTTGTTCCAAAATTAGTGTTAGTGGATTGGAGGGGGCGGATATACTTGTAATCAAAAAACACAATTTTTAACTCAAAAAATCGGTAAACGCGCGCGCCAGTCTTTAAGTATGTTTTTTGAATGTTTTATGGTTCCACGTTGAATCTGGTTTCCAAGACAAAACACAGGCCATATGTGTGGAAGTCTGTAGGAAATATAATATTATCATGTCTGTTGTGTACGCTTTGTCTTGAGCATAAGATAGTGTTATGTTTTAAAAACAAAAAATTATTTATCGTCAAAAAAAAAACGTACGGTAAGACACATATTAATATAAACGTATGTATTGTATTCCAATAGCAAATAGTATCTGTCGCCGCCGCCCATGAAACGCTATCGTTTGTGCGTCGAAACGGATTTGTATAATTTAAAAATAGTTATCGTTTAGTTGTAGGAAGTGAATACAACAACGTTGTTTCATCGTTTTGTCATGTCAAAGGCACAAGTTGTGTTTTTCAAAATGAAAATAAAATAAAAACAGTTTTTAGGGGGAGGGGGGAAATGGACGAATAATAATGATTGTTTTTTTTAATTGGACGATTACAAACTGTTTAATTTGTCTCGTCGGCAGTGACGACACATACTTGTTATTAATTATTATTGTTATTACTTAATAATAATAATGTGTCACAGTGCAAATTATTTTGTTTGACGTCCCAAGCTCGGCGCTCGTCAACAATATAATTAAAAATAATAATATGTAGCAATATTATTCCAATTTCAAGGCGGCCGTGTGTGGGGCTGTGTGGAATAATTTTGGATCCAAACGATGTAGTATTATAAGTATGTCGGTTTGCGATAATGATAATTAAATGCAGTAGTCGTTTTATGGTCTCTATCGGTTGATAGCATTTTTTTCATGTATGTACAACGCCAGAGGGGGCCTCTGTGTCTATAAAAATAATATCAGCTATTCAAAGCGTATGTCGATTCGTTTGGGTCGTTTTACGATTAAACGGTTCGGTGTGGTACATTGTGCACGTTACAGAAAAATAATAATTTGTATAGTTTCACGGCTTGTGTCGTCCAAGTGGCCTTTTAGAATACATTTTTTTAATAAAAAAATAACACCACTAAAACTTTCCAAGTCTTGTGGTTTTGCTTAAAATAACAAGTGAAAAAACAAAAAACGCTGTTTCCGGACCGACAAACTTATCTCCTCGCCGGTTAAACGCGCCTGAGATTTCGAAAAACTTGTGTGTTGTGCTGTTTTTGAATTTGGGCAAATGCTCAACTCAAAGGCTAACGTTCTCGGTATTATTGAACCTCTCCCCTCCTCTGGCCGCCCCTTTTTTGGGCGTAGGCGTCTCGACAATACGCCCTGAATACCGCCGTCGCTCTTGAAGCAAACTTTAATTGGCCACACCAAAGGAGCCGCTTTTAATTGAAGCATTGTATATAGTAGCTGTGTGAAGTTTTGCCACGGCACAGTGGCCGCTTGCATTCATTTGTATAGTACAACATGATATTATTATATACCTATTGTTCTTTAGTGCGTCTAATATATTATAAAGTGTGTTTATTTATAGTGTCTTAAACACTGTGTCTTGAAGATTGAATTGTAGGTATGTCGAATGAAGTAAACTGTAAAAAAAAAAAATGCGTTTTTTGATTGGCCATACAAAGGCAATGTAGTGTGACTTGCACGGCTTCTATTCAATTATGTCCGATCAGACTTATCCGAACAACAACAAGAAGAGGACCCTTCTGATTAGACTTTGCATATGAAATGGTTGAAGTGTATGAAGGAACAATTAATCACACTTGTAGGACATTTTTTTTTGGTTTATATCATCACGCCCGTCTCTTAATTTATTAAAATAAATTGCCAATTTTTATTATACGGTATTTATGTTTGTGTGTGTGTTATTTTAGTAATTTATATGTTAACTGAAACGACACAACATTATTAAAAACAATTCCGAGTGGGCGCGCTGATGCGTTTGTTGATCTGAAACTTTTTTTAAACGTTTATAATTATTTATTATATATTTGTTTCTCTTTTTGTTGTTTCTTTGTGTGCGATTAGGCGAAACGTACTTGACGAAAAATCACCGCTGTCGCCATCTTGTTATAGCTGGGGGGGATTCTTCCTTGCTGTATAAGCTTCATTTCCTTTGGTGTTATTTTAGGAGTCGCGTGTGTGTGTGTGTCATGATGTCGTTTTGTGTGTGTTTTGCATCGTTATTTACAGCTTCTGCCGCTGCCGTCGCCCTTAAGGGTCTTCTTTTGTTAAGAAATGGCTTCTTTTATTTTGCACACACACACACACATGTTCTACCATAGTGTTTTTGGCGTTTAATTGTATTGTTTGCCGCCGCTTTTGTTCGCAAACAATTTCACCCAATCAAAAATTTCAATTGGCTCGGCCAACAAACGTCTTGTGTTTTTTTAATTTATCAATCTTATTATTTATTTATTCCTACTCGTCGTCGCGACAATAATAACAATTATTATTATTATGCCAACAACGAGCGGACTTATTATATTTTGGTGTTGATTTTCCGTCACGTTACCGGTTGGGCGTGTACCTATTTGGCATCTTATATAACAAGAAGCGATATTATATTATTTCATCAACCTAATCAAATTGTTTGAACAAACCAAACCGAGAAACTGCGATAGTAATTATTATATTACTCACTGTGTGTTAGTTTGTTCTAATAATATTGGACTTTTGCTTTTCAATCACCGCCGCCGTCGCCGCCTTGTTTGTTTGCACGATGTATGTTTTACTTGTGTTTACATATATAAAAATAATATTATTATGACATATTTTAACCACCGACCAATAATTGACCGCGCGCAAACATACAAAACAAGCCGTTGCGCGTACAACGTCCAAAGCCCAATAACATACACACACATACAATACCCGTTTGAACATTAACATAATAATATTATTAACACACAATACCGGTCAGTCGGTAAACATAATAACAATAATATAATGTAATGATATTATGTACTCGCGCGATACCGTTGACGATGATGATAATAATGTTGTTTGTTAAATGTGCAACTGATAATAATATGATATTTTGTAAAATAACGGTCATTGTCTCGACAGAACAAACAATATAATAATATGCCGTGCGATGAATACCAATCTGTTATTTATACACACAAACACACAATATTTCTGCAATCTACCTACCATCGTCATTGTGTCCGGTTATCACGTGGCTAGCTCGACAAAAGGTTATTGTTGACAACAAAAACAAACACAGTGATAACAGCTGCTTCTGTTGCACATGCTACCGTGTTATCATTACTTCCTCAAAGACAATACACGTGTTACCAACTTGCCGGTCACTTTAGCCTGTAGCCACTTTAACCTTTGGCGCTGTTATCATAATATTTTCGGTCAACAAATCGCCGCTATCACGTCGTCGTTATAATTCCAACGCGACCGGCCGCGGACACCATATTATTGTAACCGCACTCTAACCACAGTGGTAACTGCGGTATAGAACAATTATTGAATCGTTTTTCGATGATAGTTTTTAGACTTATAGTTGTGCAAAAATAATCTCACGGATGTTTTACTTTGACCGTCGAACGACTAGGTTATTGTCCGCTTTGGTAAGTCGATTATTTTGAATATTAACCCTATCGTTTTTTTTTTTTTTTGGACAGAAATGTTTCAACATTTTCCTTTCATGCTCGACGTTTCTTTTATTTTTTTTTGCTTTTAGTAAAATGCCTCTATTGATTTATAGCTGTACTACCGTTGATTTTAAAATTGTTTAATTCGTACAGTAATGGCCTAATAAAAACGAATTTATTTTTAACCACACCTTATTTAACATATTCTAAAATCGACTAGGCTTAAAGCTAAGCTTTCGACAGCGCTAATGACTTGTTGAAAGTTAAAGTCGCCAATGATTGTTTTCTGGGAATATTGTCTTGCTAGAAACAACGAAATTGTTGAAAATATTTTTTTAATAATAGTTTTCCGCCTCCGTTAACATTATCATAATATGTATGTACATTCGAGTGAAGTTAATACTTGAAGTGGTTTAAGCCGCCAACCTCGAAAAGTTAGTAGTCGCTTAATGCACGATTTTGTTGTTGCGCAGAATTAAAATTCCCTTCTCGTCGTCGTCGTTGTTGTTGTTGTAAATCATTTCCAGTCGGTTAAACAAAGCTTTCTGGGCCGCTGTACAAATGCGCGTCGAGTTTGCCAAACGCAGCCGTGTGGGTGTGTTTGGGCGCGCGCGCGCGGTCGTTATGAGGTTGCCAAGTTTTTTAACGGTAGTTTTTTATTGTTATATATATATATATATACACCTATGTTTAGCTATTGCTTTTTTAACGGAGTTTTTCTTAGAAGTTCGGAAACGACTTGACTTTTTAGCGAGACCACAATGTGTGTGTTCGGTTAGTAAAATTCACCGCCGCCGCTAAAGCGATAATAATAATAATAATAATTTATGTTATTATCAATGTATAGTAAAATATTATAATAAGGTATGTGTGCGAGCGGCGCGAGTTTTATCATCACCATAATAATATTATATTAGCATCATAAAATATATTACATTTTTTTTATTATTATTGTTACGGTATATTATTATAGTAGCACACGCTATGTATGTTGGGTTGGCCTAGGTCAATACGTGATGATGGCAGTCGACGAGGACGTGTCGAGTCGAGAAACGCATATTATGTCGAACAACTTGTGTTAAATAAACTATCATTATTATTTTTTGTCGAGAAAAGGCGTTGAGCTTTTTTTCTATGCTCAAAACGCGTCGCGAAAAATATATTAAAACAGGCAAATGTATTTTTTACAAACACATTGTGTATTGCAGTTTTTTACTAGGTTTTTTTACCGTTGACCTATATTGCCATTTTTTACCTATATTATCACAGCTATAAAATTGCTGCCGTGTGTCCGATTTAATGTGTTGTCGCTGTGGTTACCCTAAGGCGTGGTGCTGCC